ACCATCGTTTGTCCAGGACCACGTGGCTCACTGGTAAAAGAATCCACCTGCCAAAGCAGGAGTTGCAGGAGACCCTGGTTAGATCCGGGAAATCCCCTGGAGAAAGAAATGGCAATCCACTCCAGTATTCTTGCCTGGAGAACCCCATGGACAAAGAGCTTGGCAGCCTGTAGTGCATAGGGTCACAAAGAGTCACAACTAAGCACGCACACATACCCATGCATCTTGTAGTACTCTGACAAGTGCTAGTATGGCATAGCAGCAGTTTCAGTTCTGAAATCATCCACCAAATTATGTATTACTATTAAGGGAACAAGCCTGTGGGGAATAAAAAATGGATGAATAAATATCTAAGTTTTCCACCTTTCTGCTTGATGAGAAAAAAATATACAACTAACTATATATTTTCATATTATTTGAAATATTTATAAGAATATCCGTGTGATAGAAATGAAAAATAAAAGGTCCAAAGAAATTTGGTTTCTCCTATGAGTACTTATCAAAGAGAGTGACTTAATCAGATCTATGAGAGAGGATTGTGGTGGCAGTGTGGAGACTGGAATGGAGTGGGAGACCACTTAGGAGGCTGAGGTGGTAGTTCCAGGAGGAGATGATTCATCTGAATTAGACAATGAGACAATGAGAATGGGGGAAATGAAATGGATTCAAGAAGCACATCAGAGGAGAATCAGGAGGACTCGGTAATTGATTGAACAAAGAACATTAAGGGTTAAGAGTGAAAAGATGACTGAGATTTCTAATACCAGAAGGTTTTGATGAAAATGAGAAGTCAGAATTTCAGGTTTGAACAGAATGTATTTGAGGTACCTTTTAGACATCCAAAGTGTAAAAAAATCCCAAGAGAGAAGATAAGAGATTTGAATCACTGGTAATCAGAGCCACGAGATAGGATTTAATGCAGAAGAGGGTCAATGTGAAACCTTAGGTAAGACCTGTCATTATTAATGGGCTGGTTTAAAAAAAAAAAAATGCCAGCAAGAGAGATCATAAAAGTTCAGGAGTAGGAGGAGAACTGAGATAAGAGTGCCTGAAAAGTCAAAAAAGGAGAATTCTAGAAAAGGAGGAAGTGAATGAGGACATCAAATACTGCAGTCAACTGGAAAAAGAACTAAGGAGAGGCTGTCAGATGTGGCAATGAAGAGACCATGTAAAGAATAGTTCCAGTAATAAGTCTTTGTTCATTTGTCCCTGGACCTGGTTCTAAGCACACGTAGACTGTGTTGCTTAGTGCTCTGTGCTTTCCAAAGCTGCCTTCCATGGTCACTCACTGCTAACAAAAGCAGATTCTGCCCAGAACCCTGTCTCCAAGCTCAATGCAGTGCTCCTCTCCATCAGACAGGTCCACCCACCCCATTCAGCCAGTAGTACCTATCATTAAGGTGGTGTGTACCCTAAAAATAATCCTTGCTTTGTCAGTGGCAAAAGCATCGTTGTCAATGGCAACAGCCAACTCTTATCAATGACCAAAACCATAAAGTCTGATAAAAGGTTATGATCTTGTCTCAGATTCATCTCTGCAAACAGGCACAGAGGCGTCTCACTGCAGCAATGACATGGACATGGAAATCCAGCAGATATCCAGTGAGCAGTCAGTCTGGAAGAGTGCCAGTTGCTTGCTATTAAGTAATAAAACATACTAAAGTAGACAAGTCAAGGAATCTGGAAAACAAAGGTTATATATAGCTCTTATTCAATTTTAAATGTAAATAACTTTGGAGATAGAAGCAAATCATAATTCTTTTGAATGAATTAATAAAATTACTAGTCTTCAGGGTTTAGCATCTTCCCTGACATATTATTATGACTTTATAGCTTGTCAAAACCGTTCTTTTTTTTGTATTTGTGAGCCTGGTTTCAATGGAAAGAAAAATAATTTTTACATGACTCCCCAAAAGTAATCCACTGGGTTACTAATGTTTAGAGGTACACAGGCACTGTTAGAGTATTTATTTCTTTATACCTCAGCTTATTCCAAAAAGGATTTAAGTCAAAAATTTTAGAAAAGTAATATATATTTCTTACTACATTCTGTGTTAGGGACTTGGGGGTAGGGAAGAAATCTTTTCAGATAAAGATTAAAAGGACAAGGGAATAAATAAAGGAAATCTCATTGGCTCACTTTCCAGGAGTAAAATTATGCAACAGCACCTAAGGCTCAAGTGTTAAGAGAAGTCAGGAAATCCTGGCTCCAGATGCCTAAGGATTGCTGTCTGTTTGATGACTTGCTGCAGAAATCCCCAGACCCCAAAACTGCTATTTTCCTTCTGCTGCTAGCTACTTTGTTGTCCTTCTAGTTCTCTAGAGCAGTTAAAACATTCTGTTTCTTCTGCATGTTCATTGAGGGCACAGTAGTGAAGGGCATAAGTGAAGATTAAATTTATATAGTATTCTGTAGCCTACAAAGAATGAAAGCTTGCATATTAGCCAGGAGTATGGGCATTTTGAGATATATTGCCTGGGTTTCAAAGCCATGACATGACACTTTCTACCTTTGTGACTTTGGGGAAGGTGCTTACATTTTTTTGTGCCTTTATTTCCTTACTCATAAAATGGGAACAGTATATATTCTTCAGCGTCATTGTGCAGTTTAAAAGAGATAATTCATACTTAGAACAAGTACACACTAAATCTCCTAGGTAGCACATGATAAATGTTATTATCATTATCATAATTGATTTTTAACAACCTATTTATAGTATCCTTTTGCAATAATAACTTTTAAGGAAGTTAAGTATTATTAGCCCCATTTTATAGATACACCCTAGAGCTTTGATACTCATCTTGTGAGAAAACATAACAGATTGCTGCTCAGAGCCATGTTTTTGAGGAATCTCAAAACAGGTCCACACTCATTAAGAAAAGAATGCCTGGTTGCTTAGCTGTATGTGGCATGGGCTCAGGAGCAAGATTGCATTGTTGGAAAAGTTTCTCAATAACCCTGGTTTTTCTTTATGAACAAAACTTTTAGGTAAATTTGAATATATCAGAGAAGGGAATGGCAACCCACTGTAGTATATTCTTGCCTGGAGAATCCCATGGACAGAGGAGCCTGGTGGGCTACAGTCCATGGGGTCGGAATGAGTTGGACATGACTGAAGCAACTTAGCGTGCATGCACGGACATATCTTATAATTATTTATATAATAATGTTAACCTTATGAGTTTGTTAGAGAAGTGTTACTATTCCCAAAATATTTCCTAACTAGGGTGATTGATAGAACAGTTCTCTTACAAACTCTTTCTCTATAACATTATTGTTTTCTGCTTTCATATGGGCACACAGGTTGAAAAATCTAGTCAACCTTTATTTCTAATTTGAAGAAGTTTTAAAACATATTAATGGCACTTTGAGAAGTAATTGAGGAAACTTTGTTTTCATATATGAACCAAACTATATGTTTTCATATAGTCTTGAAAATCAGAAATATTGTTTTGGATATGTCATTACCATTTTTGAAACACACAAAGCTAGGTTTCTGTGAAGCTGACATCTGATCTGACTGCCCTGACTTCTTGTTTTTAGCCAATGTTATCCCATCCCCAGCACCTTTGGTCTTACTGTGGAGAAGCAGCACCTTGATATTTTAAATGTTGGCATCACCTAAGTATGAGAAAAGCCAAAAGAGTTGACTTCTAGGTTCTACTTTCTCCACAGGAAAAGCTAGCCACAACTGCCTATAAGTTCACCCAAGTGCCCAGCTTGAACTTGGCATTAGAATGCTTGGATAGAGGGATTTCCAAGTATGAACTGCCTTTGGGGAATACCTGCAAACAAGGCTCATAAAATACGAGAACCTAGTACTCCATCCACTAGCTATAAATAAATAGAGGAGAGATCGGTAAGGAAATCAGTGGTTTTCTTGGGTAGCACTCTGGATTTCACTGGACAGAGTCACCCCATCTCCAGTTCTTGCTAAAATACCTTCAGGAATATAGAGAATCTACTCAGAGTCTAGGGCATCTTTGGACAATTCTGACAATTTTTTCCTTTTATTTCTGCTTGAAATACTAAGCAAGGAAGAAATCTGACTCAGAAAATAACATTTCTCATTCCCACACTCACTACTGTGGAACTCCTCTGCTCTGATTTCTTGAGCTATATTGATTGAAATCAGAGTTATTTTATTTATATTTGATGTGCCCACTGGCAATGGCCGAGGTTAAGTAAGCATCTGTAAGAGCTTTGTGTGAGAAGTGTAGACTGGGTGAAAAATAATTTTTTTTCAAAAAGCTTTCTAGAATGTACTTGGAAAAAGGCTCTGTGAAGCATGCTCATTCTCTCTGGAGAAAAAAAAGGAATGGTTTGCAGTCTTTGTGATTAGATATTCTTCACTTTTTAAAAAATCATGTTTGCTAATCACATTCATGAAAATTACTTCTCTGATTGTTATATATGTAATCAGTATTTAGGGATAGTTACTGGAAATGGTTAAAGAAAGCTTTGTTTTCCTTCTGAAGTTTTGTACTAAGTACCTTGTAAGATGCAATTCATCTATTCAGTATTACAAAAATAAAGATGTTTAAATAAATAAAAATGTTAAGGTTTCATCCAAAGGCAGTCTTTTTTGTTTATTGTCTGTTTTTCAAGTGATATAACCTAAACAGTTGATACAAATTATGTTTTTTAAAGCAATTCTCAGCTCTAAGCTTCTCTACACAACCTCCTTTTCTCATGTGGAAAGACTTCGTTAATGTTCTTTTCTGAGCAGAATTTTGGTAGCTTTTGCTGATATAATGACTGACATGTTTTAGATTAAGGCTTTTAGGCTTCTTTTCTTATGTAACAGTAGGTTTGGTCTTTCAGTTTTTTTTCATGAGATTTCTCTTCAGCTTTAGTAGAAGATCCTCTCTCTGTGGATTTTACTAAATCAGAGAGACTTCATTATTCTCAGAAAAATCCCTTCTGCCATGTTAAAAGACTGGAGCCCCTTAGTCCTTCCAATTTCATGGATATGCATTTAATATTTTTGGTGTTTCAGACTGACCTCAACTCTTGGCATTCAGAAGCTTTCTCAGGAAAATGTGATGTCTACACAGTTCATGACCACCCTGCTTGAAGAATTGCATTTAAAAAATGAAGACCTTGAAAGTTTAACCATCATATTTAGAACCAGCTGTTAACCAGAATGGTCAGTTGATGTTTTTACTTTAGTTTTTTGTTTGTTTTTTTATTTGTTGCCCGTTTGGATTCTGTATTCATATTGGAAATTTTAAAAACCAACTAGAGACCTCCATACATCTTCAGCTTGTCCAGCTTCAGGCAGCTTACGTCCCAGCTGCCCCAGTCAGTTCCTGTCCACTCTTGTCACTCCATGTCCCATCTTTTTTGTTATTTTTCCTTTATAGGATACCACAGTTGGCTCTGTTTCTTACAATCCAGGAAACTCCCCACTATCAGCTTCATACTCAAATCTAGACCATCCCACCCTGCATGTCCCATCTGATTAGTTTCTGCCCAGGAAATAGCAGTTTACTTCAACCAAATACTGCAGTGATCTTTGATAATATCCTCACCCTACTTCCCTCTTCAGCCCAGCCAATACCTTAGTCATCTCATGTACAGATAAGCAGGTGAGTTTACAAGTCTGGCTTTGTTGATTCCTGACCCTGCTCCCAGATACATAGCCCTCTTCTACTGTCCCACGTTTTTGTCTCTTTAAGAACTGCCCATACGAATGTCCCCTCCCTTATCCACAACTTTCCATCTCTTCCCTTTACTTTCTATTTCACATACTCTCAAGTGCTCAGATAGGTATTAAGTTAATGTTTTGATTAAAAGAAACTCATTCTAAACCATGAATGAGATCCCCTTATGGAGCATTTCCTTTTTTTTAAGTTTTCAACTGTTTTTTTAAATTATAAAAGCAATATACAGGCTTGTCAAAATTAAACAATACAGAACTAACTACATGTATAATTTTAAAAAGCAAAATTCCCCCATCACTTCTATCTCGAATCTTGTCTCCTCCCAGAAGCACACTACTGATTGATATCATTTTACATTTTGATATTTGAATTTTTGGGAAAAAAAAATAACCACTTTGAAGCAGATCTTTAAATATATGACAAGGATATTTGAGAGGTGTATTTTGGCAGACAAGAAAGAATGCCATTATCCTTTCATTGAACTTCCTAGAAAATAGAACATAAGGACTTAGCACTGTTACTGACTCCAGACTTACACCTAGTGACCATTTCATGCAACCCTGCTCCCCTGAGAACCCTCTAAAGCAAAGACTTGTATTTAGGCAGTGAACTCAGCTTGGCTGGTGGAAGCACCATTTCAAGCCCTTTTCTAAGAATATAGTAAGTTTTGAGTTTTGTTTTTTTTTTTTTTTTGCTTTATTGAGCTTCAGGTACAGAATATTGAATTAATCATACCCCTCAATTCATGACACCCTATGTCCATTGGTTGAAAGGTTGCTTTTCCAGATAGACTAGGAACAAAGTGTGCCTAATCAGATGTCCTTGCAGATCTGCTTTAATGACTATGTATCAATTAAGAGCCCTCTTAAATTAGCATATTTAATGCTTGTAGATAAACAAATGGTGTTAAAGTTTCTTAAGGATCCAATCCAGGCCCTGGCAGTGAAAGTGTGAGTCCTAACCACTGGACTGACAGAGAATTCCCTAAACAGTAGATGTTTTAAGTGGACTTAATAGTTGCCCTGTGATCATTGTTGTTATTGTTTTTTTTACAGTTTATTTGTGTAAGTAATTAAAGGTGAATCTTTGCCCAGACTTTGTCAATATTATAAGGGATACTGAATGAATGAGGCCTTATTACATCATTTTCCATATGAGAAATGAAGATGGTTGTGAATGGGTAGGTGGGGGGTTTTTTGTTTGTATATTTGTAAACCTTAAGTTCACAAAATTATTTGTGTACAATGTCTTATAGCCTTTTCAAGATTAGATTACTACTAGCTAGTATATGTTAATGTGCTTTCAGTTACAAATAACAGAAAAAAAACAGCTCAAACTAACTTTTCTTATGATAGTATCTTTTGCTGCTTAACAAATTATTATAAAATTAAGTGGCTTAAAACAACAAACTTTTTTTTTTTAATCTGTTTCTGTGAGTCAGGAATCTGGGCACAATTTAGTTTAGGGCCTCTGCCTCAGAGTCTCTCATGAGGTTGTATTAAAGCTCTCTGACAGGGCCTGCAGTGTCATCTAAAGGCTCAAGTAGAGAAAGAGGTCCTTCTAAGCTCTCTCATGTGGTTATTGGCAGGATTTAGTTCTTCTCGGGCTGAGTTTAGGGCCTCAGTTTCTCACTCTTTGTTGTCCAGACACCTCTCCCAGTTCCTTGCCATATAGACCACTCCATAGTGGCCCACAGCTTGACATGTGGCTTCCCTGAGAGTGAGCAAGTGAGAAGAAATGCAAGATGAAAGCCACAGTCCTTTTGCAGCTAGTCTCAGAAGTAACATCCATCACTTTTTCTGTATCCTGTGACTAGTTAGAAACTAATCACTAGGTCTGGCCCATGTTGAAAGTGAGTGAATTGTATAAGGGAATGAATACCAGAAGGCAGAGGTCACTGGGAGCCATTTTAGAATCTACTAGAGGTGGCAGAATCATTCAGTAGTTCCCAGCTTTATAGCATATTACACTGTCCTAGTGAGAGTCTTCAACTTTTCACACTAATTCAGGGCACTTCTGAACTAATCCACATGGCTGTGAAATGCTATGAGCTTAACCCAGTCATTCTAGCAAGGAATAGGAGAGAAAGATTTTCTTATTGACCTAGATCAGGGTCTGCTCCTCGAGCCAAATGTGAATTACCCAAACCATTATTGCTACATAATGGGGGGCAGTGGAGTGTATACTGGGGAGACAACACAGTGGTCCCCAAAACTGGTAAAAATACTTTAGGTGTTTTATTCAAGTGTCATTTTTCCTTCCCAGGTATATTCCGTGAAGACCGAATAGATGAGCTTCCATTCACCATTTCTTGAATTCTAGCCACAATAATTGTATAGCTAGAGCTACTTATTAGTTATCACCAGACAGAGTGATTTGCAGAGATAGAGAACCATTATCCCAACAAGGATAACCAAGTCCTTGCATCCTAGGTATAAGATAGTATTTTTATTTATATGAAAATAAAAGTTGAAATAAACTGAAACCTGAATATTTGAGAAAATATAACAAGCTGTAATTTTTCTGGATGATACCAGTTGTCTTATCAGTTGACTAGAAAATTGAGAAAAGTCACATTTTAGCCTCATAGTTGAACTCTAGATACTAAAGGACACAGTAAAGACTGAGGTCAGTAAATACAATTTAAGATAAGGCTTTTTGGTAGTCTAGTCTTTATTCTTTTAAAGAAGCTTGCTATTCTACGAAGTGGTCCTGAGCAATGTACACCTGAAACAACTTACATAATACTGCATTGGCCATAAAGTTCATTCAGCTTTTTTGTAAGATGTTATGGTAAACCCCAAACTTTTTGGCCAACCCAATAGGGAAAAAAAGTGAATTGACAAACCAGACTGGGTAAATATTTCCAAATCATATTTGATAAACAACTTATATCCAGATTACATATTCTTAAAACTCAAAACTAAGACAACTGCATTTTTAAGTGGGCAAAAATTTTGAATAGACATTTCAGCAAAGAAGGTACCCAGTGCCTTAGCATATGAAAAGCTGCTCAGCATCACTAGTCATTAGAGAAATGCAAATTAAAACCAAAAGCACACACCTCTTCATAGCCACTAGCATGGCTATGATAAGGACAAAGATAGTGTTGGTGAGAATATGGAGAAACTGGAGCCTTAATACACTGCTGGTAGAAATGTAAAATGACAGCCACTATGGAAAATGGTCTTGACAGTTTCTTAAAAAGTTAAGCAGTTTACCATATGATCCAGCAAATTCCATTCAATGTTTCATCCTCAGAGAAGTAAAAACTGTTCACAGAAACTGTAGGTGAATGCTTATAACATTATTTATACTAGTGAAAAAGTAGAAACAATCCAAATGATCATTAACTGGTAAATGGTAAATAAAAAATTCATAAAATAGAATACTAATGTATGCTGCTACATGGATGAACCTCAGAAACATCATGCTAAGTAGAAGAATTCTGACACATAAACCATATAATGTGTGATTCTATTTATAATGACAGAAGAAAATATCTAAAACAGATACTACATTAGTGGTTACATGGGAGTGGGAAGGACTTCCCTGGTGGCTCAGATGGTAAAGAATCTGCCTGCAATGCAAGAGACCTGGGTTTGATCCCTTTTGCACAGTTTTATAAACTTCAAAAATAGCTGTGCACCTAAAACAGCTGAATGTAATATATGTAAATTACACCTTAATAAAGCCATTAGAAATAATATATGATGTCCATACTATCAAAGCAATCTACAAATTCAGTGCAATCCATATCAAAATTCCAATGCAATTTTTTCATAGAACTGATAATCTGAAACTCTGTATGGAACTACAAAAGATCATAAATAGCCAAATCAATCTTGAAAAAGAACAAAGCCAGAGACAGTATATGTCCTGTTTTCAAACTACATTATAAAGCTATAGTAATTAAAACTGTGTGGTACTGCCTCAAAAACAGATACATAGATCAATGGAATAGAATAGATATAAACCCATGCATGTATAGTCAGACATACATGCATGACACATGAGCAAAGAATATACAATGGGGAAAGGGCTCTCTTCAGTAAATGGTTTTAGGAAAACTGGACCACCATCTCAGACCTTCAGTTCAGTTCAGTTGCTCAATTGTGTCCAATTTTTTGCGACCCCCATGGACTGCAGCAATGCCAGGCCTCTCTATCACCAACTCCCGGAGTTTGCTCAGACTCATGTCCATTGAATCAGTGATGCCATCCAACCATCTCATCCTGTGTCTTGCCCTTCTCCTCCTGCCTTCAGTCTCACACCTTGCACAAAGATTAATTCAAAATGGATTGAAGACTTGGACATAAGACATGAAACATAAGAAGAAAACATAGGCACTGAGCCTCTAAATCAGTCTTGACAATATTCTGGATTTGACCAATCAAAAACAAGTGGGATTACATCAAACTAAAAAGCTTCTGTGCCCCAAAGGAAACCATCAACTAAATGAAAGGCAGCCTGCTGAATGGGA